CCGGGGGCTGGGGGAGCTAGAGGTCGTTCCTACAGGAGTGGCGTGACTGCTGCTGCTATAACGGGAAGCATCTTGCTTGGTTGGTGTAGGTTAGTGATTGAGTGTCGACCTATGAACCAGGAGGTCATGGTTCGATTCCCAGTCAGGGCACATGCCCGGGTTGTGGGCTCAATCCCCAGTGGGGGAAAGGAGTGTGCAGGAGGCAGCCAATCAATGATTCTCTCTCATCATTGATGTTTCTAGCTCTCTCTCCTCCCTTCCTCTCTGAAATCAATAAAATATATTTTAAAAAACAAACAGGAAGTAGTATCAGATTATTCCAGTCAAGCTGCTTCTAGAACCACTTACCCCAGACTCTGCAAAGTAAACCGTGGGACTCCCAGCCACTGGGACCAGCCTTAGGGCAGGACCAGGGCAGACTGTTGCCGGCCAGGTCTTTAGGGACTGAGCTCACTTCTCACCCCGTGTGAAGAACACCCCCCGCCTACTCTGGCTCTGTTTCTTGTCCATGACCAAGGAAGAGACAACCCTTCCTCAGCCCTTCCTCAGCCCCTCCTCCCTGCTCAAGGCCTCGACTTCCCTCCTGTTCAGGGGTGGGAACCCCACGATGAGACGCAGTGACCCTCTGCCTGCGCTGTGCATGCCCAGGCTGCAGGGCGCCGACCTGCACGTACTCGGGGCCATGAAATGTCACCCCACGGGGGAGGCCTCCCCGTTGGTCAGCACCCAGCACAACTTCTTGGACTTTGACCCTTCAGCAGGGGCTCCGCAGCCCCATGCAAATGAGCACCAGGGCCCTGTGGTTCAGCCCTCCAGCCCCCGGACCTCTGCTGGGGGTCAGCGGGCAGAAAGAGCTTCGAGAAACAAGCCTCGCTGCTGAGGCGTGGAGGGCAGAGTGCCTCTGTCCCCGCAGAGCTCCCCCCACCCCCCTGCTGCCCAGCGAAGCGAGAAAGTAGTTCAGGTCCGTCCACGTGGCCAGTTTCCCTGCCACGCGGAAGCCACAGCCCGTACCCAAGCCTTCCGGTTTCTTGTTGATTGGGCTGAATGTGAAAACAGAGCTTCCCGTTTTATACTTTAATGTTTACGGAGACAAATGGAATTGGATCCTTACCTTCTGACAGCTCAGGCGCTGGGCCTCCGGGGAGTACTGGTTTCCCTCGGCCGCACCGTCTGCAGGCAGGCCGCTCACCTCCTGGATGACCTGAGGGAGAGGGAAAGGGAGCCATCAGCGGAGGCCCAGGCCCCCAGTCCTTGTGGCCCACCCTGAACGCACAGACGGAAGTGGAGCCCCTTGGGGTCAGGAGAGAGTGGGTGCAGGTGAGGGAGAAGATGCATGATTCCCCCAGGACACAGAACCACCCCACTCCCAGCAGCTGGCCCACATGTGGCCTGGGGACCAAGCCGGCCAGGCTGCGATGGGGGTGAGGGCGGGCGGTTCCTCAGGCCCTCTCTCCTGCAGGCCCCCACGTGTTTTGGGGGTGGACAAGGCTGGGGGCGGGGGTTTTTACAATCAAGCCCACAGACCGCCATGGCAGACAGCCCTCCGTTCTGAGGGCCTGGGCTGAGGACACGCAGGTCAACGCTAAGTCCAGAGCCGGGGCCAGGTTGGGGATTCCCACAGGGAGACCGCCAGGGTAGCCACAAACATGCTGCCCAGCCGGAAGCCCTTGGGAGCCGTGGACTTAGCAAGAGTGATTTCAAAGACCCTCCTTTTTCCGTCTCCGCCGAGAGCAGTTTATGAAAAAGGGTTAAAATCAGAAAAGCCAAAGAACAAAAGGCGAAACAGCTCTGGGATGGAGAAACTTGAGGCCTTTCTCATTCCTGACACTGACCTTGGGTCTGAGCCTCAGTCACCACATCTGTAAGATGGAACAATACCAAGCCACGGGCAGCTGTGGGGTCTGGTGTGTAAAGTGCCCAGGACAGGAGAGGAGCCTGCCCAGGGGAAGCATGGTAAGCCAGGTGTCCAGGCCCCGGGGCGTGCGGATTCCACTGCTCTGGGACAGTTGTGCTGTGCCTTCCTTTTCTGGAACTCTGTCCCATATCACATCTCCCATTTGCTGTCACATCCCTGTCCCATCCGGCGGGCACAGGTGTCATGCAGAGCTGACAGGGAGGCCGGGGCGTGTGCATGCATCTGTGCGTGTGCATGTGTGTGCATGTGCAGGTAGATTTGGCAAAACAGATGCGTCTGGTCCAGGGCCCCTCAGACAGGCTGACCAGCCCCGCCCACCTGCAGGTGTGTACAGCTGCTTAAGAGCCAGGCCCTCACAGCCAAGTCCACCTCTGCACTCATCGGACCAGGGAGGACAGCGCCTGTCTGGGAAGGTGGACAGAGCAGCTGTGTCTTCGCAGTGTTCTTGTCTTTAAACCACCAGCAGAGTGGGGGTCTCAGGAAGAGGGTGCGAGCTGGTGGGGAGGCTGGAGTCAGGGGAAGGACCAATGGGGCTGAGGTGGCAGAGGAACAGCGCCGGGAACTGGAGCAAGAGCAGCGTGTGCGTGCAGGTGTGTCCGTGTAAATGTCTGTGTGTGCGTGTGCATGCATCTGTGCATGTGTACAGATGGGGGTGGAGGGCTGACAGAATGCTCCTGCTTTGGAAATGCATCAACGTGGCTGTAATGGAGGAGGGGTTCGGGGTAGGGGTAAGGAGGGCGAGGGCCTCTCTGGCCTCACCATGGACCATGGGACCTGCTGGGTTTGGAGCTCCCTCTGCAGCTGCGGCCCCTTTCTCAGCACAGACCTTACACCGTCTGGGATGGTCCAGCTCATCTGTGATATGGGGCGGGCAGGCCCCTCCCAGGTGCTCCACTGCGGGGGCCACATCACGGTAAGTGTGGGCAGAACACAGGACCGTGGTCAGACGGCTCTGGGTTGGAAACCAGATGCTGCCACTCACTTGCCAGGTGACCTTGCTTGGTCACGTCCTCCCTCAGCCCTAATCGCCATTCTAAGATGGGGGTGTTAACACGGCCCGGCTCCCTGCCCTGTGGTTAAACTGGTTAAAAGTGCACGGCCCCTGGTAAGTGCTTACAAGTGGCAGCCACATCTGTTCCTTAATAAGGAGGCTGGTGATGCCTCCCTGGGGGCCAGAAAACAAGAGGATTTCAACCAGAGCCCAGTCCAGGTGGCCAAGAGATGTCAGCCCCACAGCCGAGTCTGTGATCCCCGTCCCTCAGACCAGTGGTCGGCAAACTGTGGCTCGTGAGCCACATGTGGCTCTTTGGCCCCTTGAGTGTGGCTCTTTCACAAAATACCGACTTCTGCGCATGGAGGGAGAACAATGGACATATAGAGATACTGGAGGAGGGGTTATTCTTTTCCTTCTAACTTGAGGCCGACCTCAGTAAACTTCCATGCTCAGTGTAGAAGGAATTGGGTCACAACATGAGGAACTGTATTTAAAGGGCCAGAAGGTTGAGAACCACTGCCTTAGACCGATGGCTGCCACTCAGCACGCAGGCGCCCTGGGAGCTGGGTCACAGACCCCCGGCCCTCGGCGGCACCCATCCCTCTGGGGAGAGCCGGGAGCTGCAGGGCCGCTCACCCTGAGCCACTGCTCCGCCTGGTCCTTGCTCTGCAGGCCCAGGACGATGACGTCGGCGTTCATCGGCGTGATCTTCAGCTTGTGCTCCTTCTTCCGCACTTGCTTCTCCTTGTGGACGACGCTGCTGCCCAGCAAGTTCACGTCCAGCTGAGGGCTGTGGTCCTTGGAGGATTTGTAACACTGGGAGGAAAGAGACGAGATGCTGCTTGGCCGGGATGCCCGGCCTCGCCCGAGTCTGCAGAGGAGGGGCCGCCGGGCATGGCAGGACCCGCTGAGACCTGGGTTCTGCCCAATAAAACCGAAGGACCAGGTACCCCAGGCAAGTGCAGAACCGTAACCTCAAACACGGCAACTCGGTCTGAGCTTCAGACCAGCCGGCTGTCTCCCTGCCTCAGCCTCCTCCTCTGGCCTCAGCTGGCGGGCGGGGAGGGGGGCCTGCTTGTCCTGGCCCTAAAACACAACCTCGGAGGGCAACTCTCACTCAGGGTGGAACACGCTTGTCCCACTTCTCCACCGCCTCATGGCCTGCTCAGCTCCCCCAGTCAGGGGGCCGTAGGAAATGAAGACTAAGTTTTTCCTTCCTTGGTTAGGAAGGTGACATCATTAGTAAGAAAAGGGGTTTTCGCCCGGCTGGTGTGGCTCAGTGATTGACCATCGACCTATGAACCAGGAGGTTAGTTCGATTCCCGGTCGGGGCACATGCCTGGGCTGTGGGTTCGGTCCCCAGTGTGGGGCGTGCAGGAGGCAGCAATGAATGATTCTCCCTCATCATTGATGTTTCTATCTCTCCTCCCTTCCTCTCTGAAATCAATAAAAATGTATTAAAAAGGGGGAAAAAAGCAAGAAAGGCACTTTTTCCTTCTGCCAGAGACAATTCTGTGCCCCTCAGTTTCTCATTTGTACAAGGGGGGGCGGGGGGGGGAGTCCTCCCAGGATCACCTGATGGACCGTCTGCACAGGGCAAGGCACGCTGTGAAGAAAGGGTGCTTATGAAGTGCCCTGGAACTTCAAATCAGGACCAAAAAATGAATTTTAAATAACAGGAAACCGGGCTGTGTTCAGGATAATATCCTTTGATTCCTTTATGGGTCTTTCTTATGATCACGAATTCAAAATACTGTGACTTCTGAGGAGACACCTAACCTGTGATTTTCATGCTGCACAGACAAATGCAGCAGCCAGGCCTGGGGCTGGGCTGGGCTGGGCTAGGGGAACCCTGACAGGGCAGCAGCCCCACCCACAACCCCCAGTGCTCAGGATGGGCAGAAGCATGGGCCCTCGGGCCGGGGAACAGAAAGGTCCCTGGAAAAAACGGGGATGGGGTGGGATGGGGGTGGTCATCTTAGTCCCCCTTTGAGAGTTTGATGAAAACCATTAGACTTTCTAGTTCAGAAAAAGTACATTCTTAGAAGCTTGATCAGGTTCAATTATTTTGGGGGCAGTAATAAACCATAAAACCCAATTTTTTTTAGAAAAAAAGCATTCAGCCCAGCTGGCGTGGCTCAGTGATTCAACTTCGACCTATGAACCAGGAGGTCATGGTTTGATTCCCGGTCAGGCACATGCCTGGTTTGCGGGCTCGACCCCCCAGTGTGGTGCGTGCAGGAGGCAGCCGATCGATGATTCTCATCATTGATGTTTCTCTCCCTCTCCCTCTCTGAAATCAATAAAAATATATTTTAAAAACCAACATTCATGCATGCATGCAAAGTCCTACATACAACTCCAGGTTAGGGAGAGGTAATAATCTGGCAGAAAGGGCTCTGACCACTTGGTATTAGGGACCACGCCCCACCCCTAACAAGAGAGAGAAGACCAGAACGCGACCTGAGACCACTGACCAGGAGCCGGGTGTCCCTGATGACGCACAGCTGCTTGGCCCACTGCCCCAGCCACTTCTTGCGCCACAGGAAGGCGCAGATGCGGGCGTCGCGCATCAGCTCGATGCTGGCCTCGGGCGAGGGCCATTGGTAGGGGGCCGACTTGCCCTTGCCGCCTTCATCCTCGTCGTAGGACTCGTAGGAGCTGCTCACGGCCTCTCCATCCTCTGCAAGGCACACCCACTAGGTCACATCCCCGAGTCCCCGCCGGGCAGGGCAGGGGATGCTCCCACACATGCTGGTTTGGTCAGGAGGGAGGGAAGCAGGCAGCAGGTGGGAGTAGCCACTGGCCCCCGGGCCCCACCCCTCCCACCTCTCTTTTGCCCTTGAACCAGCCCCACGGCTGCTGACCACAGACAGGGCAGTTTCCGGGCCCAACCCCGCTGGGCAAGGCGGCTTGGATGCTGCCTCTGGCCACGTATACAAATAACCTAAAACCAGAGTCCTTCCCTCTTCCTCCTCACGTCCTGCCATCTCGGAATCCAGAGAAACCTGACAGGGCACCTCCCACAGACGGGCCTCTGCCCGTGGAGACGACCAGCTCCCCACTCAGGACCTCTGTCTCTTCCTCTGTGCGGTGGGACCTTCCTGACCCACACGCTGTCATCTAAGTGGCCGGGAGGGAGGAGTCGCCCCCTGAGCCCAGAGCCGGGCACATGGCAAGCCTCCGACAGCTGCCTGCCCCGTCCCTGGTTCTATCCTGGGGGCAGGGAGGTGATGTGGCTTCTGGGAAAGAGAAGGCAAAATACAAAACTGGGCAGGAAATGCTTTCTGGGGAAGGGGCCATCTTGCCATTCCGCAGTGCCCCCTCCTAGTCATGACCTTTAAAAAAAACCCATCCTCATCCTCCACAGACCGCATTCTCTTTCCTGGCCACTGACACTGCCCAGCACAAGCCTAGCTCCGCCTACTTATCCCCAACCCATACGCTTCCGCCCCTCTGTCAACGAGCCAACCTCACATTTTCTTCTGTTCGAAAGGATCCCAAGACTCATCAAACGCAAACTGGATCCAAATCTACGCACACTCCACACATCTCAGTGTCTGCCCCCCACACTCTGCAGAATTTTCTCTATTCTCCCACCCTCGCTGTGCTATTCGAGGCCAAGGAAAACTAGGTGAAGAAAAATAAATAAACCAGAAACATCCCCCCAAAAAACAAAACTCGGAGAACACCAGGATCCCTGGTCCAATCCCTAGCTCAGCACAGGAATCCTATTGCAACCCTGACGCTGCGGCAGCCTCTGCTTGAATTCCCCAGTGGACAGGGAGATCACTACCTTACAACTGCTTCCATTACTGAGCAGCCCTAACGGAAGTGGGCCCCTCATCTCCTTCCCTGTGACCGCGACAGACATGTTCTGTGTCCTTGAGTCAGGATGGGAGAGGCCTCCTTCCCATGAGAGACCCCTCATGGGCCCCTTGTCTTCCGTCCCCTAGGAGCCCCCTCTGTTATCTGCACAGCCGGGCTCCTACACACTAAGAACTCAGACCGCATTTGAATTTTATTATAGGAAACGAATGAGCCCACTGCCATCGTTCTTCTGGCCACAATACCAATGACAATGTGCTTTAGGTTATTTTACTCTTTCTAAAAATAACCCTCTACGTCTTTTCATATCAGTTTTCTTTAAAAAGCAGTGTGGTACTACTTCCCTTCGTGGCTTAACGCAGATGTTGCACAGTTCATGGTTCTATACCTGTTAAATAAGCAAGGATTGAAAACAGCAGCGCCCCCCCCCCCCCCCCCCCCCCCCCGCGGGGGACCCTGAGCTCGCCTCTGGCTGGTGGCAACGTCCATTAACCCAAGCCTCTCAGAGAACAGTCTGCCCACCTGTTGTTTCAAAGGCCATAAAAACACCCACACCCTTTGACCCAGTAATCCCGGTCCTGGGAGTTTATCCTGGGAAGCTAGTTTTTTAAAAAGGAAGGAAGGAAGGGGGGAAGGTTACATGCATTAAGATATTAATTCAAGCAATTTCACAGTCAGCAGGGGGAGAAGGGGGAAGGATGATTTCATCCACTTAGGAGCAGGCATGCAAGTGCAGCCAATGAAAACTACGGACTATTCTGCAACTCAAACCCGATGAATGCGACAGCCCGAGAAAGCACGCTTACAATTTATGTGCAAATAGATCAGCACTGACGGCAATGGGGGGAAGTCACAGTAGTTGACTGGGTCTACTGGTAGGATGAGGGCGATTTTATTTTGAAAAAGTCCTCATTGTCAGTACTGCAATAAGTGAGATAAGAAGAATCAGGCATTGCCACGGGGACACTCCCGCAGTAACAAAAATTAAGGCGGGAGGCTGCAGAGTTCAGTGTGAAGAGATTGGCCAAGTCCCCTGGCCGTTTTGTGTTTTGGGGGCTGCCCCATGTGTTCCAGGGAGAAATCTAACACCTGTCCGTGAACCTCCTCAGGTGGGAGGGGGAAGCTAATTGAGAAAAAAGCATATCATAGTGCCTCACGCTACCTGGAGCAGCTTGGAGGAAGTTTAGGGCAAATGGATTCATTTTATTTCTCCCTAAAGGGCAACCACAGCACCGCCAAAAACATAGGATATTCTTAAAACAGACACTTAGCTTCTGCCACCCCCCCTCCCACCGGGTGAACAGGTGACAGACAGGATGATCAGATAATCCCATCCCCGTTCTGGCTGCCCCCACTGTCCCTCTAACCTGTCTGCGGGGAGAGGGCAGACCAACCAAGAAACGCCGAGTCCTCTGGCAGCACAAACGGATGCCACAGGCAGGGGTCTATGGAGGGGTGGCACCCGGCATGCGGGACCCAGGCGGGAGGACAGGGAGAGGGCAGTGGCCACGCCAGGGGCATGCACCCGCCTCTGGGAGCCAGGCAGCAGGCACGGGGTCACTGGCATCCCCGCTCTGGGGACAAGCAGTACCCAAGGTGATGGTGGCGTAAATGACTCCTTCGGGCACCTGCACCCATCTGGGGACTCCGGTGGAGGGGGCTCGGCCGGAATGACCTGTGTGATGGCCAGAAGCACAGACAGGGGCGAGATGGAGAGAGACAAGGTGAAGAGAGGGACAGGCCACGCGCGGACACCGAGAGAGACCTGGATGAGGCAGAATGGCTGCCGGCCACCAGAAGTCAGTGCTTTCTCATTGCAGGTGTGGGCTTGTCGGGAGAGGCCCCAGCCGGCCACGGACCTCATTTCCCAGCCCCCTCACATCCACAGGCGCCTCATCACCAGGGAGGAGCGTGGGTAGATGCAGTGCGTGTCACTTCTAGCTGGCGCTTCTCAGAAGCACATTGGGGTTTCCCCACGCTCTCCTTGCAGAGGATTCTGCGGCCTCAGAGGCGGCCGGGCCCACCCTGGCAGGAGCTGGAGAACCCACACTACCTGCTGACCAGCGATACCACACTGACCTGTCCGTGGGCGAGAGCAGATCGGTGTTGTGTTACCAGGAACTGAAAGGGGGCAACCTGTTACAGCAGCTGTCATTACCCCAACAGGAGACATCATCCATGAAGGAGCGGATGTCTTGGGCAAGCAGGACAGACACGACTGTCCCCTGCATGGGCCACCGGCACTCACGGAAGTGTTGCCAGGAGAGAGGAACCTGACCCGGGGGCAGTGTGGGGACAGTGCTGAGAGCAGGACAAGAAACCGACACCGGTCTTGCAGGAAGTCAGCGACGTCGCTTGCTGTTGGACAATGAACTAGAGCAAAGGGCTGATGCCCCGGGCCAGCCCTCCTGCTGTGACCTGCGTGTCCACCACTCACACAGGTGTGGGGACCACGGCCAGGAACGAGAGCAGGCCGGGTACGTCACAGGTGGCGCCCCCTCTGCAGGGCAAGCGTGGCCAGTTCTGCCCATGTCACCCTTGGCCCTTGTCCTGGCAGGAGAGGAAGGCAAGCTGGCCTCTTCCCAACCCTCCGGCTGCCCGTGGGATGACTATCCACTCCCTGCCCGCCTCCCCTATCTTGGCTAAAACCAACATGAACTCACAGCCCAGAGACAGACACCAGAAACTCGGTCCTTCTGACCACTTGTTTGCGTCGAGATGTAGTGTCTGCCCCGCAGACAGGCCCCTGGGAGCGTCGGGGAGGCAGGTCCGGGCCGGCACTGGCCACACCCAGGAGAGCGCCCCAGGCTTAAGATACCACGGAGGTGAGGTGCCCACCGCGGTGAATCACTTCTTCCTCCTCCTCCCAGACGCAGCCAGATGGGAGCTACACGCCCACAGCTTCGGCCTGAAATCACAGCTCGGCCGGCCGGTGGCTCCAAAACGTCTCACAAGCACAGAGGGTTCAGGCTACGGGACATCTGTCCACCACGCCGGCCTCGCCGAGGAAAGGAACCTCAGACCAAACAGGCTCTCGCCTCCCACACACAGTTCCTGGGCGGAGGGCCGCAGGGGAGCGTGAAGACAGACTCTGACCTCCGGCTCCGGCTCCGAGGGCCTGCCCGTCTCATCCCTGGGCCCTTCTCTGTGGAACCAGCAGCGCCCCCTGCAGCTCATTCCGACGACCAGGGCCCTCATCTCTTAAACCTGCAAACTGCTTTATGCTTTCAAAGACCTTTCGCTTACAAGGGAAGGGGGTACGAAGGAGACAGCTGCGGGGTCACAACCATTTCCTTTTTCCAGAACCTGGGGGGCCTGTGTTAAAGAATTCCTACATAGCCCGGCCGGCGTGGCTGGGTGGTTGAGTGTCAACTTATGAACCAGGAGGGCACGGTTTGACTCCCGGTCAGGGCACATGCCTGGGTTGCGGGCTCGATCCCCAGCGGTGGGCGCGCAGGAGGCAGCCGATCGATGATCCTCTCTCATCACTGATGTTTCTGTCTCTCCCTCTTCCTTCCTTTCTGAAATTAATAAAAATATTTTTTTTAAAAAGAATTCCAAGGAACAAATGTAATAATCTGAACAATAAATATTTAATTAAAAAAAAAAAGAATTCCTACACTAAGAGATTGAGAACCTAAAGGCTGTGACTTCCTGACTCCCAACACACCTTTCTTCTGACACATTCCTGTGCTGAATCCAGGCACATCCAGGTGGGAACACCCAAAGCATCAGGCCCCTAAACCAGCGCTGTGGACCATCCCGACCCCTCCTTGCAGGCACGCGGGGGGCGGGGGGGGGTGGGGGCGGCCTGCAGGTCTCAGCTCCCCACCTGAGCAGAGGCTCAGTGCTCTGTGGCCAGTTCTCAGCTTCAGTTACGCCCTCTGGCGAGAGCAGCCCAGGCTGTCCTTGCTGCCAGCACCCATCTGTGCGGGAAGCGGTTTACCCCCACCCCCACCCGCGTCCCAGCCCTGGCCCCAGGATGTACCATTGACGGACATGTCATACGGCTCAGCCTCTTCATAGTAACCCTCTGGAGACTCGATCTTTGGGATGGAGAGCTGTTTTCGTTCTGGAATCTGGTATGAACAAATAAAACATGTTTCAGATATGATACAAGGGCAACAACACGGAATTAAGCCTTTGGGTGGCAAGAGGGGGAAGCCCAGAAGAGAAAACGCTCAGTTGGACGTCAAGCGAGTTGGGAGGGAGTTTGCCCTGCATCCAGTGAGGGCTGTGGGCACGCTGCTTAACCCGCCGAGACGAGCTTTCTCCTCCTCGGAGTGAGGCTCAGACCCCACCGCACACACCAACTCCCCTTACACACAGGACACCCAACACGCAAAGTCCAGAAGGTGTCAGGCTGTGTGTAGCTAAACAGAACATACCTTCTAAAAAGACAAGACCTGCCCAGCCGGTGTTGCTCATGGTTGAGTGTTGACCTATGAACCAGGAGGTTACCAGTTCGATTCCTGGTCAGGGCACATGCCTGGGTTGCAGGCTCCATCCCCAGTATGGGGGCATGCAGGAGGCAGCCTGTCCATGATTCTCTCTCATCATTGATGTTTTTCTCTCTCTCTCTCTCTCTCTCTCTCTCTCTCTCTCTCTCTCTCTCTCTCTCTCTCTCTCTCTCTCTCTCTCTCTCTCTCTCTCTCTCTCTCTCTCTCTCTCTCTCTCTCTCTCTCTCTCTCTCTCTCTCTCTCTCTCTCTCTCTCTCTCTCTCTCTCTCTCTCTCTCTCTCTCTCTCTCTCTCTCTCTCTCTCTCTCTCTCTCTCTCTCTCTCTCTCTCTCTCTCTCTCTCTCTCTCTCTCTCTCTCTCTCTCTCTCTCTCTCTCTCTCTCTCTCTCTCTCTCTCTCTCTCTCTCTCTCTCTCTCTCTCTCTCTCTCTCTCTCTCTCTCTCTCTCTCTCTCTCTCTCTCTCTCTCTCTCTCTCTCTCTCTCTCTCTCTCTCTCTCTCTCTCTCTCTCTCTCTCTCTCTCTCTCTCTCTCTCTCTCTCTCTCTCTCTCTCTCTCTCTCTCTCTCTCTCTCTCTCTCTCTCTCTCTCTCTCTCTCTCTCTCTCTCTCTCTCTCTCTCTCTCTCTCTCTCTCTCTCTCTCTCTCTCTCTCTCTCTCTCTCTCTCTCTCTCTCTCTCTCTCTCTCTCTCTCTCTCTCTCTCTCTCTCTCTCTCTCTCTCTCTCTCTCTCTCTCTCTCTCTCTCTCTCTCTCTCTCTCTCTCTCTCTCTCTCTCTCTCTCTCTCTCTCTCTCTCTCTCTCTCTCTCTCTCTCTCTCTCTCTCTCTCTCTCTCTCTCTCTCTCTCTCTCTCTCTCTCTCTCTCTCTCTCTCTCTCTCTCTCTCTCTCTCTCTCTCTCTCTCTCTCTCTCTCTCTCTCTCTCTCTCTCTCTCTCTCTCTCTCTCTCTCTCTCTCTCTCTCTCTCTCTCTCTCTCTCTCTCTCTCTCTCTCTCTCTCTCTCTCTCTCTCTCTCTCTCTCTCTCTCTCTCTCTCTCTCTCTCTCTCTCTCTCTCTCTCTCTCTCTCTCTCTCTCTCTCTCTCTCTCTCTCTCTCTCTCTCTCTCTCTCTCTCTCTCTCTCTCTCTCTCTCTCTCTCTCTCTCTCTCTCTCTCTCTCTCTCTCTCTCTCTCTCTCTCTCTCTCTCTCTCTCTCTCTCTCTCTCTCTCTCTCTCTCTCTCTCTCTCTCTCTCTCTCTCTCTCTCTCTCTCTCTCTCTCTCTCTCTCTCTCTCTCTCTCTCTCTCTCTCTCTCTCTCTCTCTCTCTCTCTCTCTCTCTCTCTCTCTCTCTCTCTCTCTCTCTCTCTCTCTCTCTCTCTCTCTCTCTCTCTCTCTCTCTCTCTCTCTCTCTCTCTCTCTCTCTCTCTCTCTCTCTCTCTCTCTCCCTCCCTCCCTCCCTCTCCCTTCCTCTCTCTGAAATCAATAAAAACATTAAAAAACAAAAATAAGACAAGGACTAAATCAGAGGCCCATGGAGGAAAATGACCAGGTTCCTAAGGATTTAGAAACTTTTACCATAACACGTTCAATCATTCATTTAGCAAATACTGGATGGCTCCCGCATATTAGCTGCGCGGGACACACTCCTGCGGTCAAGAAAGCCTTAGCTAGACAGCTTGTGTTCACAGCTCCGGAGCAAGTGCACCGTGAACGGTGCTGTAACAGACGAGGCCAAACTTCGGTGGGAACCAGGGGTGTGTGAGGAACATTCAGGACCAAGGAAGGATGCCCGGAGGACAGGACCTTGGAGCTGCGTCTCAAAGACAACCCCGGGGTTCGTGGGTGGCATTGGGGTGGAATGTGCACCAGTGGGAGAGAGAGCCACCTCGTCACACTGACACGATGGTCCATATCAGAGGTCAAAGGAGCAAGAGATCCCAATGTCCGGGGTTAGGGATAGAGAACTATTCTTATCATCATCATCATCATCATCATCATCATCATCATGAAGATTAGGAACATGAAGTGAAGATGCAGAGAGATGTGCTTTCAAAACCTGCCTGCAGGGTCGCAGGGAGGGACGGGAGAAGGCCACCGGCTCCGCAGGATTGGCCAGAGGTCGGCAAACTTTTCCGGTAAAGGGCCCAACGGAAAGCACTTTCGGGGTTTGCGGGGTCTCTGATCTCAGCCCGTCAAGTCAGCGGATGCAGTGCAAGAGCCCCCGCAGATGAGGCGAAGCTCAGCAAGTGTGGCTGCGCTCCGGTAAAACGCCTCACGGAAAAGCAGGTGGCTGCGGATTGGGCCGGTTCTGATAGCGGTCAGGGCTGAAGCTGGTGGCCGGGGGTGGCCCGGTGGCCGGGGTGGCCCGATGGCCTGGGGTGGCCCGATGGGCTGGGGAGGCCCGGTGGCCTGGGGTGGCCCGGTGGCCTGGGGTGGCCCGAAGGCCTGGGGTGGCCCGATGGGCTGGGGAGGCCCGATGGCCTGGGGAGGCCCTGCACTTCTGAGCAACCTGTCCCAGAGAGCCCTGTGGGAGGCTCCTGGGTGGGGCTGGTGCCTCTGGCCGGGGCCGCCTGGGGTGGCCCAAAGGGCTGGGGAGGCCCGATGGCCTGGGGAGGCCCTGCACTTCTGAGCAACCTGTCCCAGAGAGCCCTGTGGGAGGCTCCTGGGTGGGGCTGGTGCATCTGGCCGGGCCCCGCTCTGCAGACTGATGGTGGTGATGTCCTTAATGAAGTGGCTGCCGACCCAGAGCGGCTCACTTACTGTAAAACCAACCGTGATGTGTGCTGGGGCCCCTGAGGGAGGTGGGGGGCAGTGGCGGTGCTGGCCAGGGCACCAACGGTGTCAGCGCACATCTGTTTCTCCCCCAGTGACCACAGCCCCTGGCGGTGCAGCCAGTGGCCTGAAGTGCCACCGCGGCCTGAGTCACTGGCCACACCCACGAGGCTGCTCTAGGCCCCTGGCTGACCCCTCCATGGCTGGTCGGGCCTGCTGTGCACTGACTCTGGGGGAGGGGGGTGGCGGGTGGAAGGTGACCCAGCCACCAGAGAGAGAATCAGGACATCCTGAGCCCGGGACAGAGGCCATCCTCCTGGCCCGGCCACAGGCATGGAGGACCCCAAAGCCCAGGCAGACTCCAGCTTCTAAAACAGCCACTCGCAAGCCTGGGGCCGGCAAGCCACCACGGCACCCCGAAGCTCCGGGGTCAGGGTGGGAAGGGTGAGGCTTTCTCTGTCTGAAGAAGAGAGGTCACAGGGTCACTCCAAGCTCATGCTCCCAAACTGCTGCTGCTGCTCAGGTCCTCCCCCCTCCACTCCCCTCTTCCTCCGCTTCCTTTTCCTCCTCCTACCCCCTCCTACCTCCCTCCTCCTGCTCCCCTCCTCCTCCACCCCCCTCCTCCTCCCACTCCTTCTCCTTCTCTTCCCTCAGAGCCACAGCTGCTCCCCACTCTGCCCTGACGCCATTCCTCTGGGGGCCTTGGACTAAGAGTTATGGCTCCTTGAGCCAGACTTGACCAGGGAGGCAGCCTGAGGGAGAGCAGGCGTGTGCGTGCGCGTGTGTGCAGGGAGGGGTAAGCACCCGACTACGCCAGCCCCTCCCTTTCTCACCGCACATCCAGAAGCTCCCAGGGGTGGGGGGTGTGCCCAGGACAGAACTGGGGGAGACCTAGGAAAGGGAGCTGCAGTCAGCACCCTTGTCCTTCTCAGCAGAGAAATTCCATGAGGAGGGAGGACAGTAAGGCAGCTGTCCGCTGGAAGTCTCCCCGGGGCCTGGAGCGTGTCCACTGGAACCATTCCCACCGTCCGAGGGCCACCCCGGCTGTGTTATTCTTGGGTGGTGATACTTCCCCACCTCCGAAGCCACGTTTCTCTCCAGCACTGACAGAGCCTCCCCGGCCCCTGCGGCCCTGCCTGGCTCTCGGGCCCTGCTTCTCACACCCGAGCCCGGGGCCTCGGGACCCACGCCCCAGGAGACAGGTGGAAGAGCAAAGGCCCGTGCCAGAGCCCCTGGGCCGCTGGGACTCACGGGGTCCCACTGGTTTATAACTGCAGCCGGGGCCCCAGCCCCTCTGTCCATCACGTTTGCAAAGCACAGCGACCCTAAGCAGGTCCGCCCCACCCAGCACCCCTGCCTGTGGGACTCCGCCTGGTGACCCCCAACTCCCCCCCAGGTGACCCACAAGCAGCCGCCCCAGGTGGGGCCTGCGGAGGCAGAATCAGGTGCTGAATTCCGGATAGGACATCCCTGCCCTGGCTCGGAGCAGCTGGCCGTCCTCCCCCACCCCCAGCAAGCAGGACGTGGGACGCACCAGAAACCACAGCATCGCCCCTGCCCTGGCTCCGAGCAGCCGGCCGTCCTCCCCCACTCCCAGCAAGCAGGACGTGGGACACACCAGAAACCACAGCATCGCCGGCGGGGCTAGGCCGGCAGCAGCTGGAGGGCAGCAGAGGGGAGGGACGCGCCGTCTCCCCCACGTACTGGGCAGGAAGCGAAGGGGAGCTCTCCAATGGAACAGACCTAGTGCCTTTGCTCCGCTAAAACGACCGGCTTAATTCCGGGAGGCCGCAGAGTGGCTGACACCAAGGCCCTGCGTTTGATTCCTGGCCCGGCTACCTCCCGGTGGAGGAATCGTGCCCAGTTGTTTTAACTCCCTGAGCCTCTGTTTGTCCAGAGGAAGAGCTGGCAAAGACAGGCAGGCGGGAGGCGAGGAGGACCCTGCTGTGTACGCGAGGGTGTGGCGGCCACCAGAGTCGCCAGAGCAACGGGGACACCTAGGGACTCAGATTCTGAGCTGCAGAGCCTCTGCCAGCTGTCACCCAACTCAAGGAGCCTCGGGCGGTGGGGTGGGGTCCCAGGCCCTCTGGCCCCACCAGTGTGGCCACAGGAGAGGAGCCCCAGAAGCCTGCCACCTTGGAAGGCACGAAAGCAGGGACCTGGGGTCGAGGTCCCCTCAGCGGTGACCTCAGTGACGGGTGGTCTGGAGGGAGCTCCATGCCATGGAGCCGCACAGCTTCCTGCTGGTGCTGATCTCCCGGAACCCCTGCTCCACGGACGTCCTTCTCACCTCCTCCCTCTCGGGAAAGCCTCCCCCGCCAGACCCTGTCCAGGAAAGAACTCGGGTTCTTTCAAGTTCTGGCTCTGTCGCGTGGAGGCTGTGTGACACCCAGGCCATATAAACCTGCTGACTCCACGCTCCTCGGCCGTAAAGTATCGACACTACTTCTTACCTCCCCAGATACCGACGCAGGATGCCACGCACACCTTAGCCCACTGAGTAAGGCAACCTCAGGGAGAGGGTGTCCACATTCCGTTCATTTAACACCAGGAGACAAGAGCCAGAGACCTTATAACTTGCTCAAGGTCAGAGCGCTAGTACCTGGTTGAGCTGGGACCTGAACCCAGGCCTACTATTCCATAAATCCATCCATCGTCCCTCATCCATCCTTCCTTCCATCCATTCATCCATCCATCCATCCATCCATCCATCCATCCATCCATGTGTGTGCGGCTCACTGTATGCAGACACGGGCAGTAAACACTGAACAAGACACAGTCCCTGTCCCAGGGAGCTTGTATCTGGCCTGAGAGGCACATTTCAAAGGTGGCAGTGCCGAGGAGGTGGTAACAGGAGAGTGGGACGGACAGTAACTGGGGCGGGATGGAGGTGGGATGCCCGACAATGGCAGGCCAGGGAAAGTCGGTCTGAGAATGTCTAAGAGATGAGGAGGCAGCAGCCATCAAAGAGCCAGGTCCAGGAGGTGCAACGTCCCCGAGGCAGGACTGACCGTGTGGCACAGTCCCCGTGCAGGGCGCATGTACAGAGGCTGGGGATGCAGCTGGGCCCCACTGGGGCCGTGCTAGGAAACGTGGATGTTTTTTCCTAAGTTCAGTGAGAGCTACTGGCTGATTCCAAGCAGGAGGCGCAGTGTGAGCGACGTACAATTCTGAAAGGTCACGTGGCCTGAGTTGGTAGCCACAGCGGGACATGGCCCCACATGGTGCTGGGTCAAGCGCCTGTCGTGGCCTCAGACACACTATGGCACTTGCTAGAGGGGCTCTCCCTCATCTCCCCCTTCTACTACCCTTAGCATCCCAGCACTGTGGTCCTGAGCAAATGACGTCACCTGCGGACAGGCTTACTTTGGCCCTGTCTCTCCCAGTGCCTGACACACAGTAGGTTCACAGAAAAGGCCAGACATTGGACGGATGGATACCTGTGAAAACAACTGCAAGTTCACGGGGCCCACCGCAGGGAAATCAGGGGTCTTGGGCCCACACTTACGGTCTTGGGGGGCGGGAGGTCCGGAAGACTCTTCTGAGGGGCCGTGGCGTGCTGGCGGGGCTCCCCGTTGGCCAGTGGTCTCCGCTCCTCCGGCGCTGTGGGCAGCAAGCAGAAGCTCCGGTGAGGGGTGCCAGCCTCCAGCCTCGCACATTCAAGCTAATTTGACAGGACCAACTTAACATTACCTAACCTTGGCCTTCTCCAATTTCTAGCAGGTGTTCATTACCCAGGCAGCCGGGGCTGCAGCCAAGGTTGTTTCCCCTCCAAGAATAGGGCGCAGCGGTGCCCCCGCCACAGATTCCTCAGGAGGAGCTGGTTTGGGGTCTGGCAGGCTCCGCACCCTCGCCTCCACCTGCCCCGTGTCAAAAATGGCCTAGCCGCAGAGCCCCAGCGCCCCGGGGAGCTGCCCTGTGGTCGCTATATTAAGCCACGCTGGGCTCCGACCCTGTGATTAGAGCGCTTTCCTTCCCACAGTTTAGCGGGGAGGCCAGCGGCCCCGGGCGAGTGGCTGCTTCCATGCCGGTGGGTGCTGATGAGCCCGGGCCCGGCCATGGGGCAGGAGGTGGAAAAGCCACATGAAGAACTTGACCACCAACCCCCCGCCCCCCACCCGCCGTTTGCTTTTAAGGGAAAGGCACCCAAGGCTCATGAACACCCAATGGTGTCTGACCATTTCGGTCGGCGGCCCAGGCGGCCCTGGGACAGACAGGTGCAGGCAGGTCTGACGTCGAGGCTTTTTGGTGGCTGATGTTCGGGAGCTAAGATCTGAATAGGACGAAGGGCTTTGGGGTGCTGTGTTTCTGCCTCTCTCTAAGCCTCTGCCTTTGGGTAACAGGAGGTGGGAGATGGGCTTCTAACCCTCTCTCGTCTACAACTAGGCAGCCTGCAAACCTCCGATCTCCCTGGGGTCTGCCAGCTCTACTCCCGAGGTTTTCAAAGAAAAGTAGGGAGCAGACCTGAGCAGAGACTAAGGCAGCCCGGAAGATAAAACATCCTGCTCAAGAGAACACCTGTGTAAAAGCCTTTACTATTAAGGCAGTGGCTGACATCACCATTTCCTCCCCCTGCCCTGCTCCCACCCCGACACACACATAACATCCAGACTTCTATCAAAGGACAGAAAGCCGGAACCGTGGGATCAGCACCCTCCACAGCTGCCTTCTGAAAGCATGTGAATTATAACTTCCTATTCCTGGGACAATGCTGGGAAAAGCTGAGAGGTTTTAGGAACAGATTCCTTAACCACGAGGGGGGACGCGAGACCTTTAAGAGGCAAGGAGGTGGCCCGATGAAACTTCCCAAAATACATCAACCCAAAATACCATCCACCAAAATGTGACTCTCAAAAATATCTTCCCTGGGCCTGTCTGTGGTGCTGGCTGGGAGGAGGGAGAGCTGGAACGGGACCGAGGTTCACACCTTCCCCTCTGCTGGGAGCTGGCCAGGCCTTCGGCAGCCCCAGCCCCGTACCTTTGTCTTGGGACTCGGTATTCTGTGGCTTGTTGACCGTCACTTTGTTCATGTAAATGTACTCCTCATCAGAACCTGCAGGGGGAGGATGGAAGTTCATGTGACTCTGTGAAGGGAAAGGGCTTCCAGAGAGAAACGGTGTCCCCTAGAGACACTGTCATCTGCTTGGTTCCAGGAAAGACTCACAATATTTTGAATTGACCAAAAGAGTCCAACATAAACAAAGAAATGCCAAGTTGCCGACTACTAGTTTACAGTGAGGGTACAGACGTCTTAAGGGGAAAGGCACCCACATCTCAAAGATGCACACCTCATACTCCACTCATCAGAGATTGCTCTGGGTTTCCTAGCATTTCATTTACATTGTAGAATGGTTCCTATCAGTCATTCTCACTCTAGTCTGAATTACTTGCCTGGACTAACCAGAACAATGTCTACGTAGAAGATAGGTCACATTGAGGATCTGAAAGTTTAGCTCCCAGGCCTCTAGGTGGGGTGCCAATGTGGGGGGCCTGAGAAATCCAAAGCATGCGCTCTGGGTTTAGAGGGGTACATGTGCAGGGAACTGGCAATGGAGCACTTCCAGTCACCTGCTCTACCCTGCAGATTGTACCTTGCAGCAGCATATCCCTTCTCCTCCTTCAGAATCATTTCTGTGCAGGTTGCCACTTTGCAAGTGCCTGCCTGGGCAGAGAAAGGCTGGTCTCCTAACACTTGCTCAGCTGCTAACACCCAAGGACCCTTTCTCCAGGCGCCTGCACAGGAAGCTCATCCTGATGTTTCTCCTCTTACAAACCCTCCTGCATTTTTTTTTGAGCCCCTTAATTTGCATTTCCTAGAGACTGTGGCTGATAAATTCCAGTGGTTGGATACCCTGTTACTGAGCCAAAGAACCCAATTCAAACCCCTGGCAAAGGAGGCAGTTCCGTGCCAGTCAGTTCCTCGCCACAGACCGCGTAGACTCCAGCCAACAGGCCCGTGAAAACAGTCCTGAGAACTCAGAGGAGCAGGAGGACGCAACTGATGCGTCCTCCACCATTGGTCCATGGATGCCCAGCTCGGTGCACAGCCCTGCCGGGACCAGGCAGCCACACCACCCCTGTCCCAAGGGCTGCAGGAGCTCACGGAGGGAACTATGAGGTCCCAACACAGTGAGCTACAACCGGCCTGTCTCCACCTACCGAGGTCCAGAGGGGCTGGGTCAGTACCTTCTGCAGAGCATGTGCAGGGGGAAAGGGCTCTGCAGGGGGGAGACCGGAGATGCTTTGCCATGAATAGTGTAATTCTGGGCAAAACACCTAACCAGTGTGGCCTTGGTTTTCTTATCCGCATCATATGGAAAACAATCTTGATGAAATATTGCCTCTTTTACTTAACTGTGAAGTTCAAGAGTACAAAACTCAAATGTTAGGAAACTTGAAAAAGGAAGGTAATCTTATAACTGATGAAGATTAAAAATGGCAGCCTCGCCCGGCTGATGTGACTCAGTGGTTGAGTGTTGACCTATGAACCAGGAAGTCACAGTTCGATTCCTGGTCAGGGCACATGCCCAGGTTGCGGGCTTGATCTCCAGTGTGGGGCGTGTAGGAGGCAGCCGACCAATGATTCTCTCTCGCCACTGATGTTCCTATCTCTTTCTCCCTCTCACTTCCTCTCTGAAATAGATTTAAAAAATACATATTTTTTTAAAAAAATGCCAGCCCAAGATATGGGCACTAACTCATAGTCTCAAGAGTGGGAAAATGGTGAAACAAACAAACCATGGCCCATCAACATACACAACAGCATGCTGCCTGTGACCATACACAAATGACTGAATAGAGTGGGAATCGGCACAACTACTGGGAAGTGATTTTGGAGGATAATTTAATTGTACATGTTCCTATTCTTTGACCCAGCATGTCCAACACCAGAAATTTCTCCTGGAGACACACTCCAGCATGTAAACATAATCTTACTCAAGGATGTTCACTGCAGTACTGTATGAGGTTTCTTAAAAAAAACAAAAACCTTAAATGCTCACTAATAGGAGACCATTTGAACAATATTGTTCATCCATGATGCTACCCAACAGTGAAAAATGAAGTAGGTCTAGGACAGCCAAGATGTACAGTTAAAGGGTCACATTTCAGAAGGGAAAAGCCATGTGAACTGCCAGCACGTGGAAATGCACACTGACAGCGATTATAAATGTAAAAACACTGTAAAGCCAAATACAGAGGCAGGCCCCAAACACAGGATATCCAGGGGACCCTGATAAAGATCACCAAAGGAACCCAAGGAACATAAATCATGCCTAATGTTCATTTTGCATTTCTTTCTCTTTTTTTTTTTCATCTTGTTGACTATGCCCACACTGCCACACGAAGAAATAAAAGGCAAAATACCTTTATTGTTTCAACTGCTGGCATTCTGAGCAGGTGCGTCCTCCAAGAGGGAGACTCGTAAGCTCCAGAGAAAACTTGCATACTCGCGCTGCCTGCCCTCCGCCCCCCAGGGCTGCGTGTCTCCCACCTCAGGCACCCTGCGGGCCGTGGTCCAGTTGGTCCTTATTCTCAGAGGGTCGCTAATCCAGGGCCATCCAGGTTGGCAAGGAGGAGGCTCCCGGGACTGCCTACAATCCTGGGAAGAGCCCAGTGAATGGGGCCCTCCCAGGGGAGGCTGCTGAGCTGTCCTGTGGCCAGGGAGCAGCCGCCCAGGGAGGGAGGACTCTCTCCTTCATTCCCAGATGTGCACCCAACTCCAGCGCTAATCTAGGTGCGGGGACACTGTCTCTGCCTTTGGGGACCCAAGTCTGTGGGGCGGAGGGCGTAGACCCAAATGGAGGGGTTAACGGGCGCATGGAAATAACAAGAGCTGAGGGGTGGTTGGAAGGAGCGCCCTCCTGCCCTGAGCCCATGTATGCTTCCTGGGGGAGGGAGCCTGCCTGTAGAGGGTGGTCCTTCCCCGGGCACAGGGTGAAGGCGGGGGAGGAGAGACACGGACCCTCTTTGCTGCAGTTGGATAGACAGAACATCTGAAGCTCTTCCTAGCAGAGGGGCAACCCTGAAACTTCCCTACAGTCCCTGAGCGGGATTCTGGGGGTAGGGTTGGGGGTGGGGGGCTGGGCCCTCACTGGTAAAGGCAGGAACAAACAGCAGGCCCCAATACATAGACCTTGCCATGCAGACAAAAAGCAAAGTTAGTAGAGAATTTGTGTTGCAGTAAGAAAGCAAAAGATGGAAAATTCCATCTGAAAAGTGTCAAACCCACAAGAAACAACAGCTCAGCCAGTGTCGGCCACAGGCTGTCTCAGCCATCAGCCGCCTCTACCTCCACGCTCCGTTGGGCGGAGCTCATTTTCTGGAGGATACACGGTGAGGCTGAGACCAAGACGGGTGCTGCAGTTTCGGGGGGCTTTGGATTCTGTCCCGTGCGGTCCAGGTTAATCTGGCACCATGGGGCTGGAGGAAAGCACAGTGGTAGGCGCACCTGCCCAGGCCTGCCCGGGCACCACGGCCACCGGCCTCACGCAAGTGCGTCCCAAGCCTCGGCTCCCTTGTTGGTAAGATGGGGACGACAACAACTCCCTCACTGACTTGGGAAGGGAACTGGATGACAGAGACCATGACATTGTATAGGCTGAGCACAGTGCTGGAACCCGGTCAGTGCACAAAAAACGTTAGCTGCCGTTATAACCACTCTGTGGTCAAGAGGATGTGCCAACGAGACCAGAGGGGAGTTTTCAGGGGCTCTTAGTAGTGACTGTCACAACCTTAAAACTAGAAGGGGCTGCCACAGGCCTCGGTGAGGCTGTGCACCTGTATTATTAGCAGCCAGGGTGACCCTCTGGGGTGCGTCGCACTGGGAGGCCGTGGGATCTCAGCAGCCACCTGCAGGCCTGCGAGCTGCAGAGACCAGGTGGGAACACGCAAAGATCAAGTGTGAAACCAAGGCCACCCTACTGCAAGGGCCACAGCACATTACACCAACACGGGGAACCGCCCTGCCCCCAGGGCTCTGCAAGAGTGGTCAGAGCCAAGCACCAGGGTTCGGACCCCATCACAGAGGTGCTTTCCAGTTCCCGCCAGAGATTCTTCATCCCTGCACATTCTCGGGTCAGAGCACACGGCGATGGGCTGGGGAGTGTGCTGATTCAAGGTTCCACTGATGGCCCTGGCCAGTTAGCTCAGTGGATGGAGCATCGGCCTTCAGACTGAACGGTCCAGGATTCGATTCTGGTCAAGGGCATATGCCCAGGTTGTGGGTTCTATCCCCTGTAGGGAGCATGCAGGCGGCAGCCAATCAGTGATTCTCTCTCATCATTGATGTCTGTCTCTCTCTCTCTCTCCCCCCTTCCTCTCTGAAATCAACAAAAAATCCTACATAATAAAAGGCTAATATGCAAATTGACCGAATGGTGGAACGACTGGTCTCTATGACGTGTGCAGACCTAAGCCGGCAGTCAGACATCCCCTGAGGGCTCCCGCACTGTGAGAGGGTGCAGGCTGGTCTGAGGGATGCCCCGCTCCCCAGTGCACAAATTTCGTGCACCGGGCCTCTAGTAATAATTATAAAAAAAAGATCCACTGATGCCCAGCTGGCATGGCTCAGTGATTGAGCATTAACCTATGGACCAGGAGGTCACAGTTCGATTCCCGGTCAGGGCATATGCCCAGGTTGTGGGCTCGATCCCCAGTGTGGGGCATGCAGGAGGCAGCCGATCAGTGATTCTCATCACTGATGTTTCTGTCTCTCCCTCTGCCTTCCTCTCTGAAATCAATACCAAAAAAAATAATCAAAATTAAATAAATAAAAGACCTGCTGATGAATCCTCTTGCAGGTGATTCATGCCTCTCTACCTCACCTGCTCTGTGAAGTGGCTTTCCCATCTGCCATTCCCACCTTTGATGTGTGGCTGACCAGCACTCGGGCAGGCCGGCAGACGCTCACTACAAAGCCAGGAGCCTGGGAACCAGGGGCTGGCCTGGAGCCCAAAGACCGAGCGGCTCAAGGAGAACGCCTCTGATGACAGGCAGATTGTTTCACCGGGAGAGCAGGCTGCCAGGCAGGCAGCAACATGTTCAGCTTTACGACGTCTCTGTTATTCAGAGAACAGAAACTAGTTCCACTGGGAACAAAGAAGAGGGAAAGGGACCGTGGCGTGTGGCCTGGCAGGTTCGGGTTGGACGGAGGGAGAACTTCCTGACTCTGAGCAGGTGCACGCCCCCGGCCTGGCACGGATGAGGCTGCTCCTGCCGCGAGGCAGATGGAGGACGCGCCCTCTGATGGCCCCTCTCTGTCCCCGAACATCACTTCCGATACTCAAGCGCCTGAGATAAAAATAAACTCAGCTCAACTGTTATGACTTCACACGAAGGCTTTTCTATTTAAAAAAAAAAAAAGACAATCGGAATGTGCTAGAAACAAAACCATGTGTCCGTAAGAAGACGCGTCCAAGAACGTTCAGAGGGGCCTTATTCACGATGGTCCCAATGTGTGCAACCAGAATGTCCACCACCGAGTGGCTGGAGCAGCAGATGGTGGCATCGGCGCAGAAGGAAACACGCCTCAGCAATGAAAGAGAGAAATGGCTGCCACGCCCCAGCGCGTGGACGAATCTCCTGAGCAAAAGAGGCCAGACATGATGTGCACACTGAGCCATGCCATTCACGTGAAGCTCAAGGGCGGGCAACGCTGACCTATGGTGGGAGAAATCCAGACCGTGGTTGCCATGGTGTGGGGGAGGGGGGGTTCCCTGGGAAGGGGCCAGAAAGAACTTTCTGGGATGATAGGAATATTCTGTGCCTTGTTTTGGGTGGTCGGGATGCAGATAATAGACAACGGTCAAAACCCAACCAATTGCGTACTTATGATTGGTGTACTTGGTCGTGTGTTAACACGGACCTCAGTAAAAAAGGAAGAAACTATGAACTCAGCATTCTGTGATTTGCAAATTCTTAAAGCTGTGTTTTCCCATTTTCTCTCGGGCTGTGTGACACAGTGGCAAGTTATTTAAACTCTCCTGGCCTCAGTTTCCGCCTCTGTCATCACAGCCAACCTCAGAGGACTGTCTTGAAGATGAAACAAGTTAATACGTGTGCGAGTGGGAAGCCCTCAATGAAGCCTCAGCTATTATTACAAGACTTTACTATCCCTGCTCTGCTTCCAACCAGTAAGGAAAAGCGCTTTGAAAACACCCTGTTGAAAGCCTCACTCGTGGCTGATGTGTTGAGTGGCTGGAGATTTCTGGGCTCCCATTCAAGTCACATCCCTCCTCCACTGTTGTTATGGGCTGGACTGTGTTTCCTCCAAATGCGTATGTTAAATCCTAGCCTTCAGGAGCTCAGAGGAGGGCTGACCTTGGAGAAGGGGTCTTTGAAAGAGGTGATTAACGTTAAATGAGGCCACTGGCGTGGGCTGACCTTATAAGAAGGGAGATTTGGACACAGACAAGCATAGAGGGAACACGGTATAAAGACCCAGGGAGTAGGCAGCCATCTACAAGCCAAGGAGAGAGGCCTCCCAAGGAACCAAATCTGGAGACATGCCGATCTCAGGGTTTTGGCCTCCAGGACTGTAAGGAAACATATGTCTGCTGTTTAAGCCACCCAGTCTGTGAAACTTCATTATGGTCGCCCTCGTCAATACAGCCACCATCTGTCCATTCCCACGGGGACCTCTCCCAGGCCCTGGGCCTCACTTACTGCTGCTTTTGATGTACAGGCGGAGGAGCTCGGCCAGACCAGTCTTCCTCTCCACGGCTGTGCTGCTCAGGCTCTCCTGGTCCAGGATCTTGAGGAAGTCCTCCAGCTCCGTCAGCAGCTGCTCCAGGGCTAGAGAAGAGAACAGAAGACGCCTTTACAGTGGCTGCCTTCTTAAAGGCCTAGCTCTGACACACACACCCCCACCCACCACTGGGCCCTGCAGCATCTCACCATGAACTCTCTGGTCCCAAGGCCTGGCAGCATGTGGGATGCCCAGTGCCAGGGTCCCGGGGAGAGGAAAACAGGCTCTCAGCCAACGATGCCGGTCTACCATTTGCTGGAGTGACAGTGGCCGAGATGGCCCAAGCAAGCCCATAAGGCCATGACAATTTGGAAACAGAATTTTCTTCCTAGATAAAGGCCAATTAAAATAGCTCAGCATCTAGAGAATTTGAACACAGATCAAACCCGCAACCATCAGAAGAAGTGCTATGGTTGACCAGTTGTTCATTCTTTCCCCCAGGATGGGGAAACACAGAATCACTCCAGGGAGATGACACAGTGATCACTCTGTCCCTGCAGAAATATGGATGACCCATCAAAAGCCCCGCTTAGCAAATAAACCCTTCCCCTGAGTTTCTTCAGTGATTGGGCTACCTCAGTTGTCACCAAGTCCAGCATCCCCCCTAAGGAGGGCCCTGGTCCCACGGATCCAGTTATCAGTACATCTCCCTCGAGGGCCACCGCCATCGAAGCACTCATTTCCCAGCTGGAAGCACTTTGCAGAAATGCTAGCACAGAGGGCAACAGTCTAGGACAGTGGTGGCGAACCCATGACACGCGCGTCAGAGGTGACACGCGAACTCATTTTTTTTGGTTGATTTTTCTTTGTTCAATGGCATTTAAATATATAAAATAAATATCAAAAATATAAATCTTTGTTTTACTATGGTGCCAAATATCAAAAAATTTCTATATGTGACACAGCACCAGAGTTAAGTTAGGGTTTTTCAAAATGCTGACCCGCCCAGCTCAAAAGGTTCGCCATCACTGGTCTAGGAGCAGGGCGTTCACCAGTGCTGTCGTTGACGTTATTATCAGCAACCTAAATCTCCACTAAGAACAGGGCGGCCGGTCCGGTATGCTCAGTGGTTGAGCATTGACCTATGAACCACAAGGTCATAGTTCAACTCCCAGTCAGGGCACATGCTGGGTGTGGGCTCGATCCCCAGTAGGGGGCATGCAGGAGGCAGCCCATCAATGATTCTCATTCATCACTGATGCTTCTCTCTCTCCCTCCCTCCATCTTCCTCTCTAAAATCAATAAAAAATATATATTTAAAAAAAAGAACAGGCACTTTATTTGCTGACAGATTCATCATCTTGGCTCTCCGTGCCTGCCTGGCTCTTGAGAACATGCTCATTAATGGAAGCCGGCCCCTAAACAGTGCTTTCCAACCACTGGAATGACCTGGAGAGCTTTTACAAATAGCGTGGCTCCATGGTTGAGCGTCAACCTATGAACCAGGAAGTCATGGTTCGATTCCTGGTCAGGGCACATGCCCAGGTTGTAGGCTCGATCCCCAGTGTGGGGCGTGCAGAAGGCAGCCGATCAATGATTCTCTCATCTTTGATGGGTTTTTTTCTCTCTCTCTCCCTCTCTGAAATCAATAAAAATACATTTTTTAAAAAAATCCAGATGCCCAAGCCCTCCCCGGATGGATCAGCAGAATCTCTGGGAGTGGAAGACAGGAGCCAACAATTCTTAAACCTCCGCACATCATTGCAAGGTTGCAGCCAACTGAGAACCACAGGTCTCAACCCAGTGCCAGGGACCACAGCCACAGGGACCCTGCTCCCAGGACAGCAACTATAAGTCCAAATTGGCCCTCCATCACCTGCTGTGGGAACGCTGAGCAGTCCCACGACCTCACCAAGCTCCGAGACCACCACGGGGGCCCTGCCCATCTCACAAGGGGGTTGTGAGTGACAGGTCTGCGAAGCTTTTCACCACTGTGCTTGGGAAGTGCTACACCAGCCACACAGAGTGTTGTCATCATTGCATCCTGATTTTCCTTCTCACCCCTTGGCATCGTTATGTATTTATTTTTTCCCCGCTGCCAGCAGTCATCTCTAAGCTCCCCTTCAGGAAAAAAAAAAAAACCAACCACACCAGAATCTTGCAATGTAGCATTTCCTACTGGATGTGCCTCCTAAGGGAAAGGAGGGGAAGAAAGTCACCTCTTCAAAGAAGCCCTCCCTGACCACCCTGTCCAAAGTAGATATTTCTTGTTGTCTTTCATTTTTTAATTTTTATTTTTTAACTTAGCAGCTTCCTCTTACCTTCATAGCCCCAATCACAACTTACTAACAATATGAACATAAACGATTTTAAATAAAAGTTTAAAATGAGGAAAATTAGCAATGAATAAAATAAGAGTTTTCTTTATTTTGCTCATTTTTAAGTTGTATTTTTCTCCCCCACCCTAGCCTGGTCTGTTAGCTCAGTGGAGCTGGGACCACATCTGTCTTGCATCTTTGCCATCTAACACTGTCGTACGTGTGGAATGAATGAATGAATGAATGAATGAGCTTATAGATACCTGCTAGTTGACAACTCTAGGAGGTGAGCATCACTCCATTTTGCAGACGTGAACCTAGCAGTCCAGAGAAGGCCCGCAGGGCCCACGGCAGAAAAGGTACCAGCAGAGCTTCCAGAGTCCACTAATGAGTAAAAGCAGGCGAGACCCCACAGTGTGCCCGGCACTGGGCTGGGCCTCAGCCTAAACTTACTGGAAAATTACAAAGCAGAGCCAGGAGAGCGTGGTCCGGCCTTTTGCAAGCTCATTAGCAGGACAAGACCAGCACCGGTGGAGCAATGTATAGACCAAGGCACACCACCAAAAAGTCGAGAGTCAAGTGGGAGACACCAGCTTCAAATGTGAGAGGAGATCAGACAAGTAAGTACACAGCCTTCTGCCTGGAAGGCTTCTGGGAAGAGGCGGCGGCAGGGTCAGGCCTTGGGTTATTTTTTGGTTTGGTTTTGCACAGCTATTCATGAGTTTCCTGTTGAGCTTAAAGAAGTCAAACCAGGGCAAACAAAGGATGAATGAGAGGACGCTGACCCTGAGCCTTGAACTCAACTACAGCGGAGAAGAAAAAGTGAAAGGGCCTGGCAAGGCCGTTGGGGTCTCGGCTGCATTTTTCCTGACCCCCTGAACTTTTTGAAGCTCTTCAGCTGTTGCTTGTGCGGGGGAGGGGGGGGGCGGAATAAAAAGGCACCCAAACGGAAAGTGTCTCTTCTCTTTCACATCCTCAACTATTCCCCAAAGCTGCACGATTCCTGGAAAACAGCCTTTGTTTATCTTCACATCAGCAAATGTGTACTAAGGCAAAGGGGAGAGAGCTGTGCCCTGGGGAGACAGATGTGACCCAGATGGGGTGCCCAGCCCTTCCAGGGGCCCCCCGTCTGGAGAGAGGGCAGTAAACATGCAGGGAGAGAACTGAAGCGACTCAGGGATGTCCCAAGGATCGGGAATGTACCAAGGGAGGAGAGACCGCTTTGGGGTGATCGGGGACAGGAGTTTAGACGCTGGCCCTGGAGACATGAGGAGGAGCTCACCAGCCAGAGGCAGAGGCACTTCAGGAAGACAGGCTGAGATGCTCAGAAGAGCATTTAAGAAGCCACACAGAGCGCTGTGTCTCAGGGACCCAGGGAGCAGGGGCGGGGGGGGGGGGGGGTCTCCAAGGGGAGAAGGTGGTCCCTGAGGCCACAAATACAGGTCACAGGGGCTGGATTTGTTTGGCTAGCGAGTTAGTATGGAATGCTGCAGGGCCTCTGGGCATTGCAGTGGGGAAGGCCGGGGAACACTGTCCTTCAGGCGGGCTAGGGACAGGCTAGCTCTGCAAATAGGGAGGACAGTGGAAGGGGACCAGGGACCCAGGAGTCGAGGCAGGGAGGTGGACACGGCGAGCCTGTGTACGACCCTGCACCCCCACCACCTCCCATTCCACCAACCACTGCGAGTGCACATGGTGGCCACGGGCTCCCGAGGCTGACCTGTGGCCTAGCTCGGACACACCCGCAGTTAGGAGCGGTGCTGGGGCTCACGTGCACGTATGCTCCAGCCAAGGCACGTGCTGCCTGCCACCTGCCGAAGGTCTGTCTGGATCACGGCGTCTGGGTCCCGTTCCACCTCAGTCGCCAAGGCAGGGGAGGTGGCGGAGGGGCCGGGCTCCAAAGAGGACGGGGAGAGCCATGGGCCCTGGTGATCATTCCAGCAGATGGAGGGACTGTGAGAGAAGACGCCTCTGGGTGACTGAGAGACGCAGAATGCCATCAGACACACAGGCTGGGGACACGGCCATGCCCGGCAGCTGTGGTCCCCAGCCAATCGGGGAACGGAGGCGCCAGGCAGGTAGTGGGGGGAGCAGACACCCTCCTTTTCCTCTAAAGCGGCTGTGCTAGGTGAACGGTAAGCAACAGCATTAAAGAAACTCAGGACCAGGAACCAGAGTCCCCACGCCCAGGGTGTCATTTCCCTCCTCTCTGGGTCTGCACCCAGGTCCCTTCTGCACACAGTCACCCGGGACCAGAGGCACTCAGCTTTCTCGCCATCTTTGCCTCCGTGGATTCCTCACTGTCAAAGCCAGTTGCCCACGGTCATCTCTGTGTCAGCCAGGTCTGTATCTTAGACCTGTATCAAGGGTCAGCCGCAGTAGGTTTGGGCCTGTGACAAGGTGCTGAGCACGACAGGGGCCAGCGATCCTGCTGTGATCACACCCTCTGGGGCCCAGCGACAGGCTCTTGGAAATAACAATCGACAAAAGCGAGGCCCCAACGACGTGCACCAACCCCGTTGACATTTTCCAACCCTCAGAGTTGAGGGGCGGGCAACCCCTTGAGGAATGTGGCTGTTTGATTGAGGCTGTGGAATGCTCAGCCAGTTCCCCACCCCCACCCTTCTCATTTTGGTCTCTTCCTCATCTTCCAGCCGAGGGAGGGAGGGAGGGGAAAATAAGTGTGTTGTTCACTCTGGACACTGTAGGCCCTTGTGCGGGCTTTGCATCCTGGCTCTGTTCAAGTTCAGGGTTGTCTGCTCAGGGTCTCACACATCGTCAATAAGATG